CTGCCCCTGCACCCCCCGACCCCACCCCTTCTCACTCTCAAGCTCCTGGATGCGGGCCTGCTGCTCCCGGACCTGAGACACCTGCTTCTCCAGGGAATCCTGAAGGGTCACCTGAGTCAGAGAAGCGGCAGAAACACGGGTTGGCTGTTGTCTTGGTCCCTAGACACTTTCCAGGCCAAGTCATCAGAGGACCTCCTGACCCGAACAAGCGCCCTTTCAGGTTCCCCCTCGGTACCCACCAGTCCTGGCCACAAACGCGCCGTCTCCAAAACGGCACAGTTTCAAGCCCCCACTTCCCCACGGAAATTTGAAAGCTCTTCATGGCTAGAACCTACTAGAAAGTTCCAGATGTTCTGCGGCTCGCACAGATTTAGCAAGTCCTCCCCAAACACAACAACGACACTTCCCAGTCAAGGTCTCTAAGAGACACATTCAAAGTTTCAATATTTGCAGGTGGTGGCGCGCGCCTTTAGTCCCAGCCCTTGGGAGGCAGAGGCGGGGAACTCTATGCATTCGAGGGCAGCCTGGTCTACAGAGTGACTCCCAGGGTAGCCTGAGCTATGTAGCGAGACCCTGTCTCCTCAAAAAATAAAGAAGTTCCGATCATCAGGGCCGAGTGGAGTCCCCGGAGAAGCCCCGGCGCTGTCCCCTCTCCAACTCCATCACCCTCCGCAAAGCGGTCCCGGGAGGGAGGATGCTGAGGCCCCCGGTTTCGGAGCTGTGGGGAGCGGGAGACCCCGGCCAAGGTCCTCAGTCGCGGGGCGGGGCGGGGCGGGGGCCTGGGACGGCTCCCGGCCTTACCACGGTGCGGTTGCAGGTGTTGGCCTGCGTCTCCGCCTGCAGCAGGCCGTCCTGGGCGCGGGTGAGCTGGCGCTGCAGCAGGTGCGTGATGTTCCGGCACTCATCCTGCGCCCGCAGCCCGTCCCTGCAGGCCTCGCTGTTCGCCCTGACGGCGAAGTAGATCAGCAGGGTCACCAAGGCCGCCTGGAACAGGACCACCAAGGCCGCGGCCACCAGGTACCGCGGGCGGAGACCCCGGCCCTGCTCCTGCCATTTCTCGTCCATGGGCGCCGGCAGGTAGTGGTAGAAAGTGGGTGCCATGTGGTTTGTAGAGCCCGGAGCTGGGAGCCCGGCGCTGGAACCCTCTCCGGGCCACGCCCCTCAGCCTGTCCGGCTTGCAGCCAATAGCAACTTCCAGAGTACCTGGGGGCAGGCCCAGAGCAGCCGAGGTGCTTCCAGCAAGTAAAAGATAGCCTTTCGGTTTCATTTCTCTGGAAAGGGAGGAATTAATTAGGCTTGCTGTGGAATTCTCCTGAAAGAAAAAGAAACTTCTGGAACTCAACTCAAATTCTTGGCCCTCCCTGTCCAGTAACCGGATGCTGGGCGCTTGTGGGCTTGGGACTCATCTGAACCATGGCTATCCACAGTAGTTGCTGGTTTGGTCTCTGGGTAGTGTTGGGAGCAGTCCAGCCTAGACTCGGATCAGCACATGGCCACCTGTCCCACGGGTTTCCTGGGGGCAAGGCACCTGTGGAAACGGACTCTTACTTGGCAAGGACCAGTAGTCCACGGGAGAGTGAAGGAATTTGCAAAATTCATGCAGCTTGCAGGCTCTTTTCTCTCTCATTATATTGGTGATTCTTTGGGTGGTTTTTAGTTTTATTTGTCAGTCACACATGCAACAGCTGTAATTTTCCCTGGAAATTCTGCTCTTTCTCAAATATTTCCCAAGATTCAGCAGGGGGTTAATGCTTCTTAAATTGAAAGACCCCCACTCCATTATGAGGACATGGGGCGTTGGGCCAATAAAATGCCCCCCCCCCCCCCCC